AAGTTTCCCCCCCCCCCCCCCCCCCCCCCCCACCCCTAAAAAAAAAAAAAAAACACAAAAAAACCCCACTATCGCAAAAGAGTCCAAGAAATATTCTTACATAAATGCTGTCCTGTAAGGTTGCCAAGGTCAGTATATGCCACAGTGACTGCCTTGGCAAGCTAAAGTGTCTTAGGCCTCTTGAAATCTATCCAAATACTTCACCTCTCACTTAAATCTTCCTGGTAAAACAACTGGAAGGCTGGCTGTGCTACTAAGCACGTCAGCAGATACTTAACAGGTAAAACTTAGGAGCTTCAAATGAAATAAAGCAGTACCGAGGTTTTACTCCACCCTTGGACACCTACTGAGGACGCTCTTAGCTATGCTAGTGCAAGTTGGAACCAAACTCACTGATCTGAACTCAGCCAGATACCTACAGTATTTGTCCAGGATAAGTGGTTTGGGGATGTTTAAATTTTTACATTTTTATCATTTGTTATTAATATTTTTGCATATCTTAAATATAAATCTGTTGTCTGGAAAGAAAAATAATTCAAAGCTTCCATGCTCTAAAATTAAAAAATGCAAACTTGACAGGTTACCTACTACAGAGAGATTTTATTTGTATAATGCTTTAAATTGTCTGGGCAACAATGGGACTAAAAAACCCAAAAGAAGTGAGAACATGATGGTATTTCCCAAGAAAGAAATACCAGATTTGGAAAAAAGATTAAAGTTTCTATCTATGCACTCCTGTTTTACAAATATCTATTCAAACCATATAGTTATGCAAAAGGTGTGCCCATCCCTGTGTGCTGTCAATTAAGGGACAGTGTCATGACATAAAAAAATTTGTCCTAGCATAAAATTTATTTCTATTAAAAAACAAGATCTCCTCTAGAGGGCAGCATTAAATCAGTATTCAATGACCAGGAAACCTAAGCTCTAATACTCCTTTATAATACATACTAAATTTACAGGCTAATAAGGCACAGTTATGTCGACCGAGGATGGTTATTTACCATTATGCTAAAGCTGGAAATTTCTGGCACCTTAAGCTACGCATTACAAAATGGGTGAATTCTTTCATTCTGGCCCAAGAGTCCGCTATATTTGGCTGATTGCAAAACCATGTGCTACGTATGAAAATTCACAGATTCATTCTGAGCTGTGGGCTGGTGAGATAGTAAACACTGCAGACTGAAACGTTTGCTGGTGTAATCTAGTTTAGCACTATTACAGCCAAATCAGTTGTGCTCAGTTAGAGCAGCTGAAATGAGACACTGGGCTCGCATGTGGGGGAAGAGAAGACAGTAGCCAAACTAGAACACAGGCTTTCTGGCATGAAAGCCTTGGTCATCACAAACATGCTTCCTGGGTAGTGGGTTACTATGACAATCTTAAAACCACGGGTAGTGACCTGTGTCATTCTCCGTGGATTACTTTTCATCATTGCATAGGATGTCTTGAACTGCTGAAGCCTCACATGTGTTTTGCCGGTTTGCTTAAGGATTTCAAATGCTGAATTTATGAAATTACAGAAAACAAAAGGTCACCTAAATATGTCATCTATTGGTTTCCTAAAAAGAAACCACATCAGAAAGTCTCTTATCGTTAGAAGAAACATTCTTATTTTTAAATACACAGGAGAAAATCCATACAGAAATAAATTCATCACCATTATATATACAGCAAGTGTTAGAAGCAGCGTATACAAGAAAGGTGACTCCCCCATAAGAATAAATGGCACGTGGCAATAGCTTGATTGATTTTTTTTTTTTTTTTTTTTAAACTAAAATCCCAGTGCATTAAGGCTTGGAAACAGTTTCAGTTTGGAGTCAGACCAGGTTCTCTCTGCCACCTGTTTCATAACCCAGAGAAATATTCCTGAACTCACTGGCCAAGCCCACAGTTCAGCTGCAAAACTCTTGAATTAATCTCACCTGCCCCCATCAGCACAGGACAAATCATCAGGTTCATGCTCTGGCAAGGGGCCTCAAGCTGCCATTTCAGCACTGAACTGGAGTTACAGATATGGCCCGTGTTCCCTTCTCCCCCAAAATCTTTAGGGAGCACTCCCCATGCTTACAGTTGGGTGCAGCATCACCACTTCTGGCGCACCAGGGGCCAGGACCGCCACAACCGCCACAACCACAGTGAGCAGCAGCTCTAGCGTTAAGTCACATAATGCATTTGCTGTGTCTTGGGGCAAGGTAGCCCTGCCTGCAGAGCTTTGTGGCTGAAAAACTTTTTAGGGGTTTCAAGTTAGTCCTTGATGCCCTTAGGACTCGGTTTGGGAACTTTGCTTCCAAAATTGATTAGGCTACGCTATGTTAGGGAGAGGATATTTGTAGTAACCGGAAAGATGGTTGTTAGCTACAATTTTAAATAGAACAAGCCTTAGAGAAAGCTGCTTGTCCTCTGCTTCTAGGCAGCAGGCAGACGTGGTTATCTTATCGTAATGGAAATCACCATGCTTTCACGGTCAGTTAAATTAGAGTAAGGAATTTTGTTTTGTAAACTAGAAAACAAAGATAAAACATAAATTCGGCTGGGCTTCAGCTTCCCCCAAGATCAGTAGCCTACGTGTGTTAACCAAGATGTCTGTTGATGAATCCATGAAGCTAATATACTAAATATTTTAGCGATCAAGATAAATCAATTGCTCAGTCTCAGATTGACCTACATTTCATAAGCATTAGCAGCCTCCCTGTCAATCATCTTTATTGCTACTGACATCTAGTGGTAACATTTAGCTGCATTTCTGAATTCCTGTAAAACAATCTTGCATTCTCTCAAACCAGAAAAAGAGAGAGTGGTTTCCTA